ATGCTTCCAGTGTTGTGTGCCGTCAGCTCGGGTTCTCGGGTGCCTTATCGGCCCTTTGCTGTGCAGCATACGGTGAAGGCTTGGATCCTATCTGGCTCGATGATGTCGATTGCGCAGGAGGAGAGGCCACTTTGCTTGATTGCCCTCATGCGGAATGGGGAATACATAATTGCAGACATCACGAAGATGCAAGTGTTGTGTGTCACCCTTAGATGATTAGCCGAGCACTGAGCGTAATAACTTTGCACATGAGTTATCCAGGACTGCAGCCAGCTTTATGAATTGTAGGCCTCGCTTACCGACCCGCATCATTTAGGGCCTGGGAATACGCTCCCCCAGGAACTCGCTTCAGATAAACACCTCCAAAATCCTTTAATTTCTCTTTCCAACACTTTCTGGCGATTTTCATTTTCGACGGTACTTTTAAGTACTGAAATATTAAACGATTTATCACAGAGAATGGAGCAATTTTCACTCATTACTAACAGGCACACTTGTTTTTAACGGCACATACACATATATACTTTGTGTGTTTTCCCGTCACCAGGCTAGTCAAAAGGACTCCCGAGTTTTCACTTGGTGGTGAGCCATGATCTCATCTGTTGTGACATGGTACTTGCGAGATTTAAAATGCAGCTGAGGTATGCTAAAAATTCTCTATCGCACATTCAATTTGCGATAGAAATATACGACCGGACAGAAAAGTTTGTAGGCACGGGCCTAGTAATGACGTTTTAAAATCTTGCAATTTGGTAGAAACAAGCTATCAATGATTCAAGATACAGTCAGATGTAACTGTAATTGCAAAAACTGTAATTGTAATTATTTTTTTCTGCACATAGATTGTAAAATTATATATAACATAAAAATATTGTATATTATGTTGTCACTGTAAATTACGCTACGATATTGTAAGTAATGGACAACGCTGTTAAGTAGTAAGTTATGTTAGTAAGTGGTATTAGTATATGTTAATATCAGTGGCGGATCCAGACTTTGAGCTGAGGGGGCGGGGGGGGGGCGGTTTTGTTTTACTTGCCCTGCAGGCTTTTCTTCCTTCAGTCATTTCTTCTTTTTTCACCCAAAATAAGGGGGGACCCGGGGGGCCGGGCCCCTCCCCTAGATCCGCCACTGCGTATAGATTACGAGTAGTCCCTCTTTCGCTTAGTCCGTCGTGCGTGACGTGAAAGAAAACTACAAGAAAAAAATGGCCGCGTAAAATCCTGGGGGCGAGGTCCCTCCAAGCTCTTTGTCTATTAATCCTTGCCAACTACTAAGTACCTATCATCACCTTTACCGTATGACCTATGTTTCAATCCATACTGTTGTGAAACCTTATGTACAAGAGCTCTGTCCTCTTTGGACAGGTCGTTAGAAAATTTTATCTCTCGATCAGGACCACTAATAAACGACACAAGAACATCTTGAACAGAAGTTTTTTTCACCCCCGCCCCTTGGGTAGGGTCACAGCCCAAACCAAACTTCCCATCTGTACCAACCGCCATGACAGGCTCAGCTCGACCTTGGCCTTCTTTACCAATCCCTCCAGTCCCTGTCCAACCCATTTTCCGAAGTATTCGATTGCCGATGTTATCTTCGGCAATGCTCGGTGCCTTTTCGTAAGCTTTCGACACTAGTTCGGTTCTCGATACACACGGTGCGGATTCATGTGATCGCGATCCAACGCGTATAACCGGCTGACGAGGACGGAGAATAGCTAAAGCATTTCCAGCGGCGTTTCGTTTCGCCTGCTTTTTTCCTATCCCTTCGCCCACAGCAATCACTTTGTCTGCGATCGTCACAGCACATGAGCAAGATCCCGTGTCGCTGTTGATACCGAGATCGTCAAAAGATATCGTTTTCTTGGATTTTTGAGCACTCTCGTTCAGAATACTCACGGGATTGTTTTTCGTGCTTTCATCGCCCTCCTCAGGTTCGTATATCGTGAAATTTTCTATCAAAGGCTTTCGCTTCCTCACCGCTTTATCCGGTATCGAAATGACCGCCTTCGACTCAAGTTCACTCACAATTTCCTCTGTTTTAGCTGGATATCTACAACCTAGGAACTTCATGTTGGCCCAAACCATTGATAACGCTGACAACGTATCGTCCGGGTAATGATCTTTCCACGTTTCAATAAATTGCAATCTTGCCTTCCATTGCAAGTCAGTTTCCCACGAGCATCGCTTGGCCTCCATTTTGAATCTTCCAGAGACGCGGTTACCTAGCTCTTTTAGAGAAGTTCGCTGGCCAATGTTACAGCGGTAAACCAATATGGCCGCTGTTCTTTGGAAAGAGGCAAGATGATCGGAATCCGTGTTTTTAACCTTTTTTCCCAAAACTACATGGTTTTCACGAGATATGTGTTTACCCTATCATACCGTAAGAGCCCAAGATTCTTCTCATCGAGTTTTTACTCACGATTCTCACCTGCGTCAACTGTAGTTACTCGGTTAACGTGCGTTCACAGTCCTAGGAAATTTGGCAGTTATCAGTCTTCGGAACAGCCCAAGAAACAAGCAGAGGCTGGAGTTTCTGATGTATTGGATACGCCGCCTCATCATTCGCACACCAACACTATTTTACAAAGACTGCATGACTTGGAGGAGTCGTTTCGTGTCCGGGGGCACTCCGTATTAAGATGGGGTTTAAGTGCCCTGATCGTGGCAGGATTTGTTATTTACATTTTCCGTGAACCACTCAGAGAAAATGTCGCGGATGAAGTAGCAGATGTAGCGAGCAGATCTTTAGGTACGTAAGGAAAACTGGCTTGTGAGTAATAGTACGTAATAGTACCACATCTGACTCACCTGTGGACGGATCCACGAGAAGGGTTAAGAGTGGGTTTGAACTCCCTTCTCCCCTTCCCCACACCACTTCTGCCTACACTAATGGGAAACAGACTTATGAAAACCAACTAAACTCTTGAAATGTTCAGTTTACTTTGTTTGTTTACAACTTGTTCCCCCACGGGGGGGGGGTGGGGGGAACTACTCTGGAAAGTTTTGTAGAGCGAGGCTGCACCTTGAGGTTCAACCCCTTAACCCTTTTGTATACCACTTTGACAGGAAAGGTGCTCCTACTGTATACTCCTTTCATATACCTTTAATTTATCGGAAAAAAAAAAGATACCCTTTTAACATGCCTACACACTGCATTCCTTATCTAAACCCTTGCAATGACGTCAATGATCAATACTACAGGAGAACATCAAGCATTACCGACAGAGCCACCCCTTATAGGCCATTGTAGGGATTACCTTCCCTCCAAGCCCTCCCCTGGAACTTGTGGTAAGGTCTTTCAGTGTTTTTATGATCTGTCCAAGGAACCAAACCAGAAATCAAATCTAGATGTTAATGAGTTTCTGTTCTGAGCTATCTGAGTTATCTTCAAGCTGGTTATGAAAAGGCAACTTCAGTTTTTTTGTTTTTTTTGTTTTTTTATTATTATTATTTTTTATTATTATTATTTTTTATTTTTTATTTTTTATAGAAATTAAAGCCCTGGTGTAGACTATATAAATCATACCCTTTGAAGAGATGCCAAAGTTGTACTCCTAGCTGGCTTCAGATCCCCTTAGTGAAAACAACAACAGATAATAATTATGTGTGGCTTATGAACTAATTAAAATACAGCTTTATAGCCTTATTTGACCCTATGTGACCCCCTAGTCCCCCCACCCCCACCCCCAACCCCATCCTCCCCTCCAAACACTTCAGCATCTCACTCCTAGGTTTCAAAAGGGCCTGTTATTGTCCATCATGGTCAGAAACTTGACCCCAGTTCTGCAGCATGAAATAACTACTGTAGTGGTATTGTTTCTTGCCCGGGAAGGTATACCCTAACCAGTCATCACATTTACATGTAGAGCAATAAATGTAGATATTTGTACAGATATGAGCATGTTTAAACTTAAAGGCACACTGTAGCTGGGTCGAAATTCCTCCCATTTTTGAGATCCACCATTTGCATTTTATTTTGCATATGGAAGTTTCAGCTTGGATGCAAAATTTTGTAATGCTTAAAGATTTTTAGCCAGCCTAAACCAAACTGTTAACAGTTTCACATAAAATGTAAATTACAACAAACAATGGCAAAAACAGTAATTAATTATGCACTGTCAGATTATCAACAGGATTTACAGAATGAGATAAAATTTTGCAGATTTGTAAAAACTGTTGCCCTGGTTCATCTTCTAGTAAGCCATTTTCTGTGTAGAAAAGTTTTATTCTTTGACCATCACCTTCCTTGGTTCAAGCGGTTAGTGAAAGCTAAACATGGATGTGCAGGTAACTGCCATTAATTTCAAGCTACAAGTATTGTGTTCTTACTGGAGATTGACAAATGATCCCTTGTTTTCCTGGGAATCCCCATTTTATAGTGATATCCATCTTCTGATTGTTTGCTTTCTAGCTGGCTTGCTTGACTTACTGGCTGACTGATGGACAAATGGATGTACTGGTACTGACAGACTGACGGACTGATGGAATGACGAACTGACCGACTGACTGGTAAATGAACAGACGGGCTGCTGGCTGGCTGGCTGGCTGGCTGGCTGGCTGGATTGATTGATTGATTGATTGATTGATTGATTGATTGATTGATTGATTGATTGATTGATTGATTGATTGATTGATTGATTGATTGATTGATTGATTGATTGATTGATTGATTGAATGGTTACAAATTTCCTCATTTAGCTGATGAAAACGTCATACAAAAGGCCAATGAAGTAACAAGAGCGGTCCTGCAAGATGTTCTTCACGATCCAGAAATCACAAAACTGGCGAGTGCCTTTGTGATGCACGTCTTACACCGAGATGACGTAAGGGCAGCCGCCATCCAGTTGACCCAACATGTACTAAGCGATCCTTCAACGTTGAATAAGATTGCTGAACTAGCAAGGACCACTCTCTCTGATCTGATGGCGCATGAAGAAACTAGAAAACTAATGCTTAGTTATGTCAAGGCTCTGATACTTGACCAGAACACGAAGGACGCATGTAAATTACTACTGGCGGAGCTTGTGAAGGATCCAGACGTCAAAGGTTTTATGGCGGCTTCACTGGGAGATCTGGTCACATCTTCCGTTGTTAAGAGTAGCGCTGCAGAGCTTGGCAAAAGCGTGACCCATCAAGTTGTTAATGACGCTGAAATTCAGCAGGAGACTGGGAACTTTCTGTGGAGAGCGTTGAAGAAAACATTTACTCCGGGGTGGTTTGGGTAGAGACTACTGTTGATCCTAGACGTCTGTTGAAATGTTGTTTTTTGTTTGTTTGTTTGTTTGTTTTCCTAGGCCGTTTCACGCACCGTTGGTTTTTAGCCGCGGATTCAAAAAAGTGATCACGTGATGACGAACATCTCTTGGCTAAAGTTTGCAGCACAGCTGTGGCAAATTCCTCAAAAGTAGCAAGTTCGAGGCAAATCTTGACCATGCGATGCATTTGACATCGTTCGAACTCTTCTCTGTAACATATCTTGAACTGTATCTTGCTAGAAAGTTTGAACCTCAACAAACTTACAAGCAAACTGTGAAGCATCTTCCCCGACGGCAGGAGATTCACTAATCACACGATCATGATCAGGGAACTCAATCGATGGCAAAATCAACAGGCAAATGTATGATAAAAAGAGAAATCACGACTGTATACGGATACCTCCAAAATTCACCTCGACTGCGCAGGCAATAGTTGAAAAATAGTTTGACCTGCTCATCGAATAAAGTATGTATGTATGTAGACAGTGAATATTTCAGATCAAATTTTATGGACCTTAGTGACATCGGATTTACTTTATTACAGGAAATTGACAAGTCAAGAAAATAATGAAAGTGAATTTTTGAAATTCACGTTCATTTAAATAGTGTTTAATAGCTTAATTGCATGAAGCGTTCAATTCAGCATCCTTGGTAACACCTTACTTTCCGCGGCATTGATTGGCACATAACCAAATTACCGCATTCTGTCCCAACGGTATAGCGTAAACTGCCCGCTTACAAGCCCTGGGCTTATACAACTTCGTAAGGGTTTTTTGATGGGCTTATAAACGGAGTGCCTATATCCGAGGGGGCTTACTGAACCGGAATAAAAAAAACCGTTTCGAAACGAGCTATAGCTGCACATGTTGACTGAAATAGGTTTTTCATTTACTGGTAATTAAGCTATAAAAAATCGTAATAAAACGAATTCAAAACAAGGAAAGCTAGAGGGGGGCTTATAACCGGAGGTATTTTATGGTTTACAAGTAGATGGGCCTATAAACGAAGAGACTTAAAAGCGGCAGTTTACGGTAGATCAAAAGAGTTTTGTGACATTTGAATATGACATGGATTAAAGAATAAAGAAATTACTTGTTTTCGCTTATCTCAAAGAAATGCTATTTCAGCAATGAAACACTGCAAAACATAGCACTGAAACAATTATATCTAGATTAAAACACAAAGGATTTATTATCATTATTGCGAGGTAAGAACAGTTAACAAATGTGGAATACCTTATGATAAAGAAACATATTATTTAAAACTTGGGGACGAAAATGTGCAGTTTTATTTTCGCTTATGGAAGATCATTACATAGTTATTTTTGTACCTTCAAAGACTTAAACTTACTCCAAACTTACATTAAAAGAGTTATATTTGTTCCTCTCACGTGATATGCATGCGGGTTTTTTTTTTTTTTTTCCTGCATCACTCAATCGTGCCGTAATGGTCGTATTTCCCACTTCATGATCACTCCTAAGACCGGGTCACCTTGGAAATAAGCTGATCCTGATTGTCTTCATTTATTCAAGTGCACTTTTGCTTCGATTCTCCTTCAAAATATGCGTAATTTCTAGCATGTTGCACTTTAAGGTGAGTGTAGAAGACCATAGAACTTCAGGTGAGATGTAACATTTGTCAGTATTGATGAATTTGGAAATACATTCAAGTGACACCCAACTTTTCATTCCAATCGCGGGTATAACATCTTTTTACCCGTGAGCAAACAAATTCCACTGTTAGCCGGGCTTTTTTGGTTTAATCGACCATTAGCTAAGGGCAAATGTTTAAGACGCTCTGAACAAGAAGCTTAGTATGTGGTTCAAATTTCTGAACACTTACATTCTCGTCCTCAGAGCCCATTGTGCTTCTTATCCGACGAAGCCTGAGCACGAGATACAAGAGAAGGCCGGTGATCGCCTCAACGACCAGCCTAGTTTTCAGGCCTCTTTGTCGTTCACACCCAAAATGGTGGTCTGTTGAAACTCCATTTTGGGATTTAAGCACCTAAGAACACTCGTCGCATGTCGCAAGTGAAAATAAACCATGTTATTATTGTTTTTGAAAGCAGGTGCTTTCATTAATGAATTAATAAACACTCCTAATTGATAGTATATAACTAACACCAGCGACTTGGCCGTTCACTCAAAGCAGTCCAATTAGCTAAGCTACGGGTACCAGCTCAAAAGCCATTCATGAGCAGTTTAAACATTTAACGCCTTCGCACCTAGAGACCGTCCGAAAAACAAACTTTACAAGGGAAAAGCAAGCAATCTGTCCATCAAACTGCCAACATTCGTGAACATATAACGGCCATATGCAATCAAGTGGAACGCCTGCAAACAAATTTCTGCACATGTCAAAATTGCTGCTGCATGTAAATTACGCAGGGTATGAATTCTTGTTTGAGTGCTCAATCATTTTTATCGCAAATACTTGCTTGAGACTCACAACGGAAGTAGGCCATTGAAGATACTTGCAATATCTAGTTTAAGCATGTAAAAACAAGTGTTTTAGTGGAAAGTAAATAGCGCCCTGAAGAACTCCTAAATCCAACGAATTGAAAGGAGCAGACCATACTGATCAGAGGAGATACAAACAAACATTTTCTCTTTTTCCCAGCGGACGCGGAAAGTTCGATTCATGTATGGAAAGCACTAGAGAGAATGCTACCTTTCAATTGGAAAATCGAGGAAATTTCGACGATAACGAGTGTTCCATTTGTTTGGAAAGTGTTCCTGCCCACCAAACCAGCACCCATCAAAAATGCGCCTCTGTGTACTGTGATTCGTGCTTGGGAGCCTACATACGTTTACAAATAACACAAGGAAAATGGAAACTTGAATGCGCAAACTGTAGTTCATTGTTATCACGAGATATTATCCATCGATTCCTACAGGAGTATCCTTTGCTTGAAGAGCACTTCACTCGGCTCGTTGCAGACGCGAGCAAAGACCCGCATGTCAAAACCTGTCCGAACTGCTGTGCGAGACATCGCGTGAAGAAAAACAAAACAAAGCGAGTGACATGCGAACAGTGTCATTTCGATTGGTGCTTCTCTTGCCACGCACCATGGCACAAAGCAATGAGCTGCAAGGATTTTAAACGAGGGAGTAAGATGTTTAAAGAGTGGACAAAGGAGAAGAGCGAGGGGGCAATGAACGCCCGCCCGTGTCCCAAGTGTAAAGTTTTTATCCAGAGACTGGATGGCTGCGATCAAATGTCCTGTCCTCGATGTCTCACCCCGTTTTGTTATCTCTGCGGTGAGAAAATCCTGCATAGTAAATTACTTGGAAATCACTGGAGTATATACAGCGTTCTGGGATGCAGGTATATTTACAAACCGAATCACCCGGTGCAAAGAAAAGCTATCAGGGGACTGTTATTTAGCGTAGTCATAACTTCGTTGCCAGTTTTAGCCTTGGCATTTCTGATTGTGTCGCCTATTTATGGAGGTTATTTTTTGCACAAGTACATTCGTAAACATTGAAATTGTTTGGCACGCAAACTGACCACGTTTACGACATGTTAACAAATATTTTTCGGTGTAGGTAACATTTGTGGCATATCAATTGCATAAAAAGAGACACCATTTAGCAATTTTCTCACCCACGAACTCAAAATTGAATACACTAGCATTTCTAGGTGGAAATAAATACTGTGTAAACTTTAAGCAGGGAACTGAATCCTAAAGATAGAAAGAACGAAAGCAGTGTGGTTACTTGGATAATGGGGCCGCCATAACAGTAAGACCAACATAAGATTTGTACTTCGAGTGCATCATTTGAAATGTTTGTTTAATAGGACTGCAAAGGGTTACGCTTTTTAAAACAAGCTCTACATACAAAACGTGAGTAAATAAAGTGTTTCATCTTTATCTCTTAATCAGTTTAATTAAAAATATATTCTAATTTCCGTTGGCCAAGAAAACTGTAAATCCCTGTGTATTTATGTTGAGTTCGAGATCAAGACACGTGGCCACTATCGAAGTGTCCCTCTCCACGCAGGAGTAGGGGACAGCTGGGGGGAAGACTTGTGATGAGTTTGTATCCCATCCAGGGGGGGAGGGGAGAATATCGGCAATCGTAATCACGCCATGCGATAGAACCTGGGTTTCAACGCCGCACTGATGCGATCAATTGTGAATTTCTCAGCAACTAATACGATGACTATGTACGAAGGTCTGTAAGAAGAATTCGCCAGTTGATATCGGCAGAATCTCTGAAGGAGACCACACCCTCTGGCTTCATTATTACAAAGAGTTCCATCTTGCATTTGTTCACATTGATCATTCTTATAACCATACAATAATCTTATGGCTGCCTTTTATGGCGTTGGAGATGTTGCTTCAGCACCAGTTTCAACGCAAGTTGAGCACGTGACCAGCTGTAATCCTCACGTGATTGAATCTGTATCCTGTGAATCTTGTAGAGAAGTTTGCGGTAGCGTCGACAGGCATTGCTCGGCTGCTTTGTCCAAGTTGTGCTAAAATAATAACAAAAACGTAAAAGTTTTCTTGTGTAAACTGACTACAGAAAATAAAATAGGAAGCACAAAATTACAGTGTCCTATACCAGCAGCAGGATTGATACGGCAAATTAAGCTAGGTAACTGTGAAACAAAAATAAAAAGGTGTATGCTAACAAGATAAAAACAATTTTTTATTTGTAGCTATGTCAAATTTGGCTAAGGTTTTGTTTAAGTCAACACGGTCTCAATATTCTCCGTTATGGTTTTCCAATCTGAATTTTCCACAAAAAGGAAAAGAAAAAAACTGATTGCTGGAACAGGTTTTAATTAACGGTTATGATGTAAAAACAAAGTGTATAGCAATTGGCACTCACTTGTAACACGTGTAGCCCCGAGAGCGACGCCACTGCGATCTCCTTTAGCCCATCATTAGTTAGATCCAGGTATTCAAGGGCGAACAGTGGATTGGCAAAACTTCTTCTCCAAACAAGTTGAAAATCAATGTTACTGGAAGACTGTAGAGTGTTGTCCAGAGAGACGCACTTGTAAACGAGAAGTTCCTGTTTAAAAAAAACGAAAACGAAAACGAAAACTTATCTTAATAAACAAATCATTAGAATTAGTGTAAGAATTTCGTTTTCTTCGTCAAGTCGATTTAAACATTAATGTTTGTACCTTGTCTTGAAGGAACTGCATAATGACATAAAGCCGTTGTTAAAAACTCGAATATCCAGAGCACAGCACTAGGCAAAAGTAGTGCAACGAAATTCGCTGAATTTCGGCTAAAAAATGCTAACTTTTGCTTCAGCGGAACTCTCGAACTTTCCTGTGTTTATATTTCGCGATAACATTCATAGAGCTTGACGATAAAGCGCTGCTAAAGTTCGCGAAGTTTCGTTTAGCTTCGTGTGACTTATGGGCAAGACAAAAATTACCTTTTGTGATTCTAGTCCCCAGAGCACATTAAAATGAAGGCTGAAAGCTGGAGGTTTATACCACTAAGCCGTAACCAACTAAACAAAAGGATACGGTTAGACATTTAGATCTGGATTTCAAAACAAACCTGACCTGTCCATATGTCCCTAAGAGGATTTCATTATTCCCGTCCCAGTCCACATCGGCGATGCAAGTGCATGTCACGCAATCGAATTCATCCGACTCCGGTAACGTTACCATATTTGTAAAACCCTGGGTAATTACATTCCTGAGGATCAAACAAAGAATACCGTCATGTATACAGACTCCAACTTGCAGCTGGCTGAAATCTTTGGTTGCACGCACAATCCCAAGATTTTTGCCATAAGGTTTCCAAAACATGATTTTCTTTTACCAGAGGTGACGCATTTCCCAAGACGTACCGAAAATGTAACCATGATGCACTGCGAACAAATTCAATGGCGTGTTTTCATGTGTCATCACATATTGGTGTCCCAAAACAATGAAACGGCGGCCATGTTTGTGTGTCACATCAATGCTGTGGGGAACTGAACTCTTTTCTTGTGCAAACACTTTGTTTTGTTCCAATAAATTCGCATGAGTACTGGCAACGAGAGTGAAAACACTCTACTGAACGAGCGAGGAAGAGAAACGACCATGTTTCCTCTCGTGGATTCTTTCCCGTTACGCTCCACGGACTAAGCAAAATGAGAGGAAGCTCGAAGTCTAGAAAAACTTTGTTGCTCTTTTGCATCTTGTTTTCAAATAATATCAGAAATAATTAAGACCTCAATATTTCATTCTCCATTGATTTGAAACTGATCTGTCTTCCTCGCATCTAGGTAACCTCTATTCTATAGTGACCCTCTGTACATGTATACCGTTGCAGATTAGAAATTGACTAAGCGGTGATCGCGCGTAAAGCGGGTTCCACACTGTTGTATGGTTTTCTAAAATTGATACCTACGTGTAAACGACGCTTGCTTCTATTGCACAGCAGACCAGCAAATGATAATCTGTGGTCGATTCTGTTTCCGTTCTTTCACTGATTTTATCATCTGCAAAGAGAGCAAAGTGAGTTAGCTTTGTGACTAACGATAACAGCCAGCTATGTATAACAAAATTTGAGTTTACTGGAATAAGACAAGCACACCAGCGGAAATCTACTGAGTTAAAAAGAAACGTACACGGTTTAATCAGTCAATGCCTTAAACAGTGTGGCACTAGAAGACAGAATTATTCAACATATCAGACCAAATGGCATCTTGCTCTTTCAATAACAATCACCCTTTATTTTAAAACGATATTTTTCAAAGCTGCAAAGCTTGTGGGGTCGTTTAACAAAGGATCTAATGTGCNTTTTCAAAGCCAAAAGGCTTGTGGGGTCGTTTAACAAAGATCTAATGTGCTAATGGACTGGTCAAAATTTACAATTTATCTGAAACCTAAAATATATTCAATAGCTACTAAATTTAACTAAACTTCATGCGGATTACTATATTTTGAGGGTCAATCTTATAAGTGTTACGAATAAATTAAATCTTCTGATCTGAAAGTGCATGTAGACGCAGACGTCACTTTGAATGTAAAATTATTAAAATTATCTAGTGATTTCAGTTTCCGCTTGAGACTCCTATAACAGGAGAGGCTGACTAATTCGCGATATAATTGCTTGCCAAGTAGTTCCAGAGCAGCGCACCTCTGTGCGCGAGGGAGTCTTTCATGTAGCGGGTGTTGAAGCGCGGGATGGATGTAGTTTCATCCAGTCGGAAGCAAAACCAAAAGTGTTCGAGTTTTCCCGTGCTTAGAAATATTTTCCTGTTTTCCGCGTTTGGTCTGTGACTGATAAGATGTGATTACTTTGCTTTTGGTTTAACTCTCTCACCAGTAAAACAAGTATTAAGACGATTGCTTTACCGCTTGAGCTTTTGTTTCCACTGGAACTCTGTGAATATAACTTCACACTTGATATGGGTCCATCACGGTCCAAAGTGTGTTCCTCAACAATGCCTGGCAAACATTACCATAAAAAGAGAAATTAAAAACTTGTACGTATATGCCTCAAAAAATAAGATAAATATTACATTTCCCCTTTGTCTTAAGCCTACCACAAATGTCTCCATTCCAAGCCACACAAGACACGCATCAGCTTTCCTGCTGCCAGCTAAATGACCATGGGCAGAGATATGCAAATCATAACTTATTAAGAACCAATCAGATGGCAGGATTCATTACACAGCCCTTTCGGAAAAAATAAAATTTGGTATTGTACTTAATGTTCTGGTGCATGGTAATAGTAAGATGTATATGAAAAAAAGGAGAATACCTAATTTTACCAAGGGTAATATTGAAGGTCACAACATGGCCACTAAATGCACCAGGAGCAGAGGAGGCTTATTTGAACATATTTCTACCTAAATACACTGCACAATCCCAACACAAATCCATCTGACTTGCTATTCAAATCCTAGTATGTACATGTAGTCATACTAAGTATTGTGCAGCTACAAAAAAATTAAAGGATAGATGAATTTTCACTCGTTTGTCTCACGATAGCGATCTACATCTTAAAGTCAAGGTCAAGGTCAAGGTCAACTTTATTTAAAGTGACTCCATCGTGAGACAAACGACTGAAAATTCATCTATCCTATCTTACACCACGATGAATAATGTACACATCTTTAATGACAAAAAAAATAAAATTCTATCCACAAGTCAGGTGAAAGCTGAATAAAGCAACAACTGTCACTGTATCACCAGGGTGAATTTAGCTCAGAATAAGGTTAAATAAGACTCTTCTGCTCCCTGTGGAGTGTGACAAGAATCATACTTGGTCCTCCAGTGAGATCGGTCACAGCCACTTTAACATGTCCATTCTGACACCCAACAACTGTCACTCGTCTGCCACACTGCTGGGTTTCCACTTCTAACCAAAGAACACTAAATAAAGGAGCAGAACAATCATCACGAAAAACATGCCGATGAATATCACACATCTGAGTCAATAATTAGCTTCCTCGCACAGTTCTTCACTGGGGCGGATCAAGAACATTCAGAAAGCGGTGGGGCTAAATAAATTGAGGCAAAGTGCAACCCACCAAACACCCCTCTCACCCCCCCCAAAAAAGACAAATTATGCAATTTGTTGGTCAATTTTTGTTTGAAAATACACAAAAAAAAGGAGCCATGGTCTCTCTCTCAGTCCTCGTATGGCCCCCCTTCTAAATCCGTCTATGCCTCATTATATCATTGAGGTTCGCATACTCTACTTTTGATTAAATATTTCATTCTAAAACATGGAGTCATACTTGCTTGGCAAATTCTGAAGTTCAGGAAAAAAGTTCTGGACTGGTTGTTCTTCAAACCTTTGATGAGGCCTGTCCTAAAAACCCGTACAAGTAAATTACAAGTGAGCTGTTATTAATAATATCAAATGTTTGTACACAGCTTTCGAGCATACATGCAGTCACTGGGCACAGTACTTGCAATACTACTATTACAGGTTGCCTCATCAACCAACCTCACAGAACATGTGAACACTTTCATCACTTCCACAAAGTAGGAACACAACCTCGTTTCCTCCCTTTATAAAAATCCTGGAAAACAAAATTAAAAGATGATCAAAATGGAAGCATTACAAAAGAATACTAAAATCAAAGAAACTAATTCTAAAGGCCAATCTACAGCACAACATGAAATTTAACCAATAATGCAGACTTAATGACATTTTTGGGAGTTTGAAATGGCAATTAAATAATAGATGAAATAAATTCATTGCTGAGGCTCGTAGTAATTTACCAAGGGCAATATTTGTTTATTTAGTTATTTACTCAAATTATTTGTTTTGGACATGAAGCAAAACATGCTTGGATCCATAACAAAAACTTGAGCATAAAATACAGTATCTTCAATTTCAATTAAATCAATCTCACTCTGCATGTGTCAGCTGAAAAGGAACAAAATCCAACTCAAGATGTTGACATCCCTCTGCAAATAACAGCAACAAAGATACAATAATTTTTCAAGTTTTCAGTAAACACTTTTCACATTATTTTAGTACAATGCAGGGAAACAAAGGAACACAGGAGAAAAGAGGTCGGTAATTAATTAACGTTACCAGGAGATGAGCTGAAGGAAAAAGGGAGGAAGGATGGAATCTGAGAAGGTTAGTGATAAGCTGGAGAAAAACAAATATTCTAACTCATTAATTAACGATCTAAGTAAATTATTTTTAATAATCAGTAATGACATTACTATCAGGCACGGATCCAGAAACCCAGGAAAGGGGTGTTTACAGAGACAAAATCCAAAACATTTCCTGGTGAAGCATGGTCCTAGACCCTCTAAAAGCTTGTGCCTTCGGAACTCATTGTTTCAGAAATCAGTCACTACTTATCCAAGATCCACATCGGACATTTTATGCCCAGAAACCTTGGGAAACCTTGGGAAAGGTACAAGAAGCACGAAAGTGGAGTATGGTCTAAAATAGGGATGTCTGATGAACTCTTTGTCCATTTCCCTTCCCCGCCCACCTCCATTACAATGTACTTGAAATAAGAACATGTGTCATACACATCAAAATCAAAACAATCAGCTCACCTGCTATACTGTCAAGGGAGAATTCTGCTTTACTTTCCAATGCTGAATAAATATTGAGGAACTGTTTCTGGTGACTTCGGGAATTCTGTAATTAATAAATGAAAGAGTAGGGGGAAAAACAATGATTAACATCACATTGAATATATACAAGACAGCTGGTTCAGTCACCAGATATAGGCTCATCATTTCTTGATAAATCTAGTATCAGCTGATGTAGAGTCCTCATTCACTTAGGGAGTAGAGGGCTTGTTTTCATGAAGCAGACAGCTAACACCAATTTGAGTGCTGAAGGTTAGGGAAAGCCTCTAGGGAGGTCTGGTGGCATGCTCCACCAGACAATTTTGTTGACAATTTATTTTCAAATCTTTGCACTAAATTCATTGCATGGTAAGTGGCCTCTTTTGATTTCTCCATTCTTCAACAGTTTGTCAACATTCAGCTGTCATTTTGCGCTGCCAGTTTCACATACATTTCTGCATCGTTTTCAGATTGCTTGTCTGGTAACACTGTGACCCCACCAGTATTCAAAATACTTTTTGTACCTTCAGTAGAATCAACGATATTCCCACCACCAATCCCTTGCTTGGTTCAGGTCTGTTGAAGGCATCAATGGAAACAATCTCTGCTGATTCTAAAAACATCCAAAAAATCTTCCATTGCAATCATACATTTCTGTAGTAGACATCATTCTCAGATGAGGAATGCCTGAGAATTAGACTCTCCCTGATACAGAAGAACTAGACAGGGGTATTACACAGGGCATAACAAATCAATAATTCCAACAGTCTATAACAGTTCATCATTGTCAATAGAGTTGGACACTGATCAATCAACAAATATCAGAAGTTGAAGAAACTACATCCTAAGATTTGTTGTCATTATTGAATTTTGATTGAATTTCCACATTAGAGTTTGATTTCCAATTTTGAATCAAAAACATCTCCAATGTTGCTGATCTCTGTAAAGCCACACAGCTCAAAGAATGGTTGCAAATTGAACAAGAGAGGATGCAGCATTCTTAGCCAACAAATGAGACAAAGACTGATTTGCCAAGGTAAACATTCAGAAGAGACAACAAATTTAATCTCTTGTTGCTGCCAGCTGGTCAGTTTCAATAAAACATCAACAAAACGAGGAAGCATTTTTCCCGAAATATTCATGTCGCGCACATGTTTTCCCAATGTTTCCCAGTTTGCCATACAGGAAACATTGTTTCCAGTATCAATTTTTGTTTCCAAGATGCAAATCATGCTTTTGCTACACGGTAAAGAATGTTATCGAAAATCCAAGCATGCCAGCAGTTGCAAAAATTTTGCGGACACGAGCAAGCGAGCACTCATCTAATTTTTGCGAGCAATTCGAGCAACGGCCAAATTTTGCGAGCACTTTCAAATTGAATGGGACCATTCAATACCCCTAAATATCTTAATTGACAACTCCCCCAATGGGGCTTTTCAGGGTTAATGAAACCCAATGATGAAAAAACAATGCAAATGAACATAACATGGCTAGATATCCCAACTGGCGGAAGGCAGACCAGTTGGCTGTTGACAAGCATGGCCGAGGAGTTGAACTAGGGTCTACCAAGAAACAGCTCAAACTAAGTGGTCAGAGCGGGAGTTGAACCCGCGAGAGATTTCAAGTCCTCGGCTACGCTGCGTCCTTTATATACAGTGACTGTACCACCTTGTCCGCCATGTTGCATTTATTAGGTCGTTGATTCAAATCCTGTGAACTACAGTGAGGAAGATCTGATTATATCGAACAGGAAGATTTCAATTTGATATTAAGCTTACATGTGTATGTACACACCGTACCTGGGATGTAAGTAAATGGAACTTCCCTCGAGCGCGGCACAAGCGCTTTCCGCGGATATTCCAGGCTAACCACCCTGCCGCTGAGAGAAGCTAAAAATATTTTGTTTCCTTCTTCGTTTCTGTCTATTTTAGTCAGACCGTAGATGTTTGTTTGTGAGGGAATAGGCAAAAAATGAATTTCTTCAAAGTTCAAGTCCATCTTGTCCGCCATGTTGTATTTATTTCGTCGTTGATTCAAATCCAGTCCCTCGCAGTCTTCACCGCGTTGTTCCCAAGGTCGTTCCCAGGCGTTCTCGGCTTCTTCGAAAAACCCCCACAGCCGAAGAGGAGGGGGGGAGGGGGTTCCATGAAGGAATGGTACTGCCCATCGACGACCACAAAGATTTGGATGAAAGTGTTCTAAAGGAGAACAAGATAAGGAATATTTTTTCTATCGGCCAAGATATTGCATCTTGTAATTCAGGGGGCAGAAGGAAAATGCCCAAGAATGTAGGCCTTGGGCTAGCTATGAAAACTTGCGGGGAAAGGGAATAATCACCATGTTAAACCATAATGGCCACTGTATAAACTACTGGGAATGTGAACAGATTGACACAAAATGGGCAGTAATGAGTTTGAATCAATTTTAGGACGAAGATTGATGTTATCAAGCAATTCTTCCTTCGAACATCGCGAGTGGTGCATTTGTGCAAACTTCTGCAGACAACAGACTACTTGACGGATTCCCTTAATGGGAACGAGAGTGTACACGTGATGAGTTTGGCCTTTATTTACCAAGGGGGGTTCGCACTAGATCCAAAAAACCTGATGTTCCCTGCGCAAAACATTAGCAAGGTCAGAAGACGAGCATTAAAATCTGCCGAGACAAAATTGTACGAGCTTGCGTTCACCAGTAAGACGCCAGTACCCAACTTTTCAAATAGGTCAAGGCAAACTTCTTTCAAAAGTGCTCAGTAGAGAGAGAGAAGTTACAAGGACTGAATCAAGCCTGAATGTTTACCAGAAACACCCCAACAAAGCTGGTTACTATTAAAGTAGGTCAAATACAAGCCAGGCAGAACTTTCCAGGGTGGAGTAGCTGTCATGCTATAGTCACCGTGAACAACTCTCGGCCAACCCGTATAGGCTTTCCTCCAATGATACCTGCACCTGTTAAAGAACCAAACACAGTATACACATGCCTGAAAAGTCTGGACAAGAATTTTCGCTTGAGCTTACGTCAGAAGAACGCAGTGGTACCCTTTGACGAATGAATTTACTGCATGTGAGGCCGAGTGCATTCAGTGAGCTATGTGCGTCTCACAGCCTCGATTTTTCTCACAAAGCTCTCTCGCATCTCGATTTTTTTCAAGGCTAAGAAAGTCGTTAAGTACCGATTTGTTTATTTTTTTTTTTATAAAGTTAAATGACATCACAACATCTTAAAGCCTGAACGTCTTGAGTTCGCATTCAAAATACTTTAAAGTCTTGGTCTCGCAATTGAAGAAATCAAAATGTCTCGGGCCCGCAAAGAAAAACGCTGATCTCGGCGTCTCGCATTTACCATTCGCCACTCCTATTATTAATAGAGCAATAAGAGCTCATAAACTAACTCTTGAAGCTTGGAGAGATAACCGTGGAGCTCCTTTATGGAATGGTTGGAGAGCAATGGATGAGAAAGAAATGATTTGCATCAAAGACAAGAAGCAGAAGTTGCTCAGTCTTTTCCAACAAGGGCAAAACATCTGTATTACAACAACGATGCGAAATTCGACAGAAACCAGTTGAGCTCGGTAACTTGCTGATTGAGAAGATTAGTTCCCTGTATATCCAGTTCAAAGAACACGGTAAATGAGCTTAAATGCTCGGCTTTGTTTGCATTTTGGAATAAATACATTGAAATAGTGTGGTTGTTGTTTAATTTCATCGATGGTGACAGAGATGCTTATTGGCTTTTGCATCTCTAAATATTCAATGCAATGCTACCTTATGACAGAGCATTTGACCACCTAAACGACTTCTGATGGGGAACAGTTTACTTAACAGATATGAAGATACTGGCTGTAAGAGGTCGCCCCAAAAGTACATAGAGAGTTCACTGAGAATAGAGCCCACGCTGTTTTAACATCATCTTCCGACTCATCGTTCAATTTTGTCTCACCAGAGATGGCATTCGAGCAGACAGTGTAATAAAAACCTTCGCTGTATTGCTGGAGAAGAATATCGGGAGAATTTTTCTTTTCTTCGATGGTAGTCTACGTAGCTCGCGGGGCGGACTCAGTGACCAATGGATTAAAACGAATTCAGTTGAGTGGTCTCCGCATCCTTCACTGTCCGAGTTCATATTCGCCCAGCAGGTTAGCCACTTTGCGTTACCCTATGAAAACATATGCGTTACAACATGAAAAATATTAGGGGTCAGATATTAACCCCTGCTTTGTTGGCGAACAGTTATTCAATATGCAAAGTTAAGAGGCATGAATAAGTCCTTGTCGGGTCATTAAATATTCAAAACAGTTTCATTAACAAAGCTTCAAACGCTGGTCATGGCAGTTTTGAGAAGCCCAAAACCATTACCCTGTAGCGAAGAAGAACTACGAGAAATGGCTTCTCAGTGCAGGACTCCGTTTTATGTTTACGACAAGGAAAAACTATTGAACGGAGCCAAGTACTTCAATGATAGCTTCTCCTGGGTGCAATTACTGACCGGAACGAAGTTTAAGAACCACTTTGCAGTCAAGTCAACGCCGAATCCGATGATTTTAAAGATTCTACGCGAAAAGTGTGATATGGGAATGGACTGCATTTCACTAGGAGAGCTCATGATCTGTGAAAAGCTGGGAATTAAAGGCGAAGATATCATGTTTACTTCAAATAACACACCTTTAGAAGAATACCGAAAGGCCTTTGAGATGGGAGCCATAATCAATTTGGACGACATTTCCCAAATTGACAACGTCAAGAAAGCGCTGGGAGGTGCCATGCCTGAGATCATTTCATTTCGTTTCAATCCAGGTCCAAATCACAACATTAAATATAATGAACACATTGGTAACCCTGCCGAAGCGAAATTTGGAATGACTAAAGCCCAGTTGTTCTCTGCCTTCAAGAAGTGCAAGGAATGTGGCGTGAAGCGCTTTGGCTTGCACACGATGATAGTAACATGTTCTCTGAACATCTTGGATCTCGCTGAGACTGCTCGGATGATGTTTACACTGGCGGTGGAAATCAAGAGCGAGACAGGAATCAGTGCTGAGTTTGTCAATATGGGAGGTGGTATCGGTGTGAATTACCATCCTGATGACAAACCTATCGACCTTCATGATCTTGGTGTCCGAGTGAAATCCTTGTACGAAGAAATCGTATTGCAACAGAACGATCTTCACCCGCTACAGATAAAGTATGAATGTGGTGCCATTGTGACTGCAGATAATGGTTGGCTGGTGACTCGTGTTAGAAACATGAAAGACACTTACAAACGTTTCCTAGGCGTCGATGCTTCCGTGACCGATTTCTCGCTTCCGGGAACATATGGTTCTTACCACAAGGTCACCATTGTCAAAGATCAGTTTCTTTCAAATGAAGTGCGAAAGAACCTTCCTGATTACAAGACCATATTTGACGACCCTTCCTACGCTTGTCCGAATCACGAAGGCGACAAGAGAGAGCGAATGTTTGACGTGGTCGGCTCCACTGGCAGAAACAAAGATAAATTTGCTGTTGACCGGGTGCTGAATCTAAATCCTGAAATTGGTGATCTCTGTATCATTCATAGCGCTGGTGCCTACGGGTACGCATTGAGTTGCAACTTCAACGGGAAATTGCAACCCGCAGAGATTTTGCGTGTTGGTCCTAACCGTTTTGAACTGATCCGTCGAGCGCAAACATACGATGACTACTTCGCCACGATGAAATTTCCCTAGAACTGTGGTGTTGGCAAGAACATTGCTTGTGCTGCACTAATACGATTTCACAAACCTCTCCTCTGCTTTGCCACAAGTGTAATGAGAATTGTTAAAAGCAAATGTGAAGAACAATAATAACACACACACCGAAGAGTATCTAGGCTCGATTGCCAGTTGAGATTCTCCCCGAGAATAGGTTTCGGGAGAGCAGGCTGCTTTCCCTAACAGCGGCTGCTGCTAATCGAGCCTATATAGACAAAATCGTGCGAAAATTGCATTTAGAGATGCGATTCAGATATTACATATACCAGCCAGCTTGTACACAATTTAATTTAGGAATTCTAGGATACAAATCTGTTGACGAGTTCCTTCAACTCACTGTCGTTGAATATGTTCTTGCATAACTATCCCTCGATGTCACTAATAAACGTTTTGATTCTCTTTTCAGTTCCTATATGGTTCAGAAGTTTGGAGTATATACGAATAAAGATGATTTTACTGACTTGGGGAAATGTTACTAAAAAAGCAAGTTTATAATCAGCTATTTTTGAGCGATTTTCAAGCCAGATAATACGATATAGCTTGAATATTTTTGAAGAGCTATTAGCTCTACGGATTAATTCTTTCAAGGCTGGTTCCGTTAGCTCACTGAGCAAGTTTAACTGATACGCAAGGTAAATAACACCTTTTGTTAGGAAATTTCCTTACAAATGGTAACAATTTTCAACATGCTACTGTGTCTACAAATAGTGAATGTGCTTATGTTTATGCGCCAGTGAAAACCAGTCTTTATGGTTTACAGCTCGGAGGATTCTGACTTGAAAATAATTTTAAGAGTGCATGCCATTTGAATTGCGGTCAGAACCCATCATGTCATACCACTTGTTCATCTCCACTGAATAACTGTGGGGTATACAAAGGACTTGAATGTCTAAGCCCCGGGGTATTTTTACGAATCAAATAGAAGCTAGTGTTCTGTACAAGTTTTCTAAGAAAATAATGCTCGCTTGAGGTCTAGAAAAACTGCCAGTGGACGCATAAGTAAAACATCGGTGCGTTCAGCAATTTTTCTAGACCTCAAAAGTGCATCATCTTCTTACAAAACGGAATTTGTTTTTTCAAGAATATAAAACTTGCAAGACATAATATCGTATTAATTCACAATTTGTTTTCGTATTGCCTAGGATAGAAAAAGAATTCGAATCAGACGGCATTAGGGGGGAAAATTTCGAAATAACTGATGTTTGTGGGTACACTTGCGAACCTTTATTTACCGCAGGTTTATTAAAGCGTGACGGACCAGGGTCTCGTCAGAATGACCCTACCTAAAAAAATTTGCTTGTAAACGCGCGGGCTACCTTTGACCCTCTTGCTTAAGTAGCCATAGCACTACAGGGTTGCCCTAGCTGCTTGTGCTAAGGCCCTGTTAACAAGGCAGTAGGGTACCCCCAGAGCTGAGATTGCCTTGCGTGCTTGTGAAGAGGGCTACATGGGATGTGATATCTAAATAGTGTCATACACAATATTCTTGAGTGCGTGTATTCTTTATGCTTCTTCGCATTAGCATTTAGCGATTATCATCAACCTGAAACTAATAAAAAAGGGTCATTACAACCGGGGTTGATGAATTCGATCTGCAATACAAGATAGAAATGTTTTTGCCATCACCACAGTTCTAAGGAAATTTTATCATGGCGAAGTACTCCTCGTACGTTTGGCTCGAGGGATCACCTCAAAACGATTAAAAATCTCTGCGGGCTGCAATTGCTACTCAACAACAACAACAACAATTTGTTAAGTTATTTCCATTACGATACATGGTATTACCTATTTAAAGTGAAGAAAATATAAAAACAACCAAAAAAAGAAAAGAAAACTTATTTTACAAACGAAATCCATGTCTAAGCTTTGGGACTTCGCTTTGAAAATTTAAGGTAATTCCTCTGAAATAAAAGTGACAATAGATTTTTGTTCAAACTTTGTCCACTGAATATTTGTCATATGATAACTTCAATTTTGAAATAAAAAAGAGGGGTGCCCATGCTCATTAAGGAGCAGTGAGGCATTGA